CATCCTCTGCTACCTCTCCAGACAATTCATTTATTAGTTAATTGAAAGAAAGATAACCCTATACCAATTCAATACTTTCAGCATTGTTCAGTCTTCTTTACTGTTAATTAATAGTTACCGTGCTATCTAAAAGCTTTTCTTCATAGAATTGTTCAGGTAGGTTACAGGCATTCTCCAGCCAATACTTTTTTTTTTTTTTTTTGGTTAGTGCTTCCTTGTAAAATCTGAAATGTTGATGAGCAAACAGAACTTTCCACAGCGATGGGAATGTTCATTATCTGAGCTGCCCAGGAGGACAGCAAACAGCCAGCCACATGACTGGTCACACCTGAGATGCTGCTAATACAACCCAGGAGCAGAGATTTTAAGTGCGTTTGCCTTAAATTCAACATTTCAGTACTTCATGTGGCCACTTTTCAGGCACTGCAGGTCAGTGATGCCCACTAAACTTCTTCGATAGGCTTGCCTTCTGGGTGCTTTACGAGTTAGTGTAGTTAATCTTCTCGGTGACTTCATGGGATAGCGTTTCTTGCTGTTGCTACATAACAAATTACCTAACGCTTAGTGTCCTAAAACACGCATTGATTGGCGCAAGGAGCTACAGTCTGGGTAGTGTTCATGTGGACAGCTCATCTTTGCTCTGTGCAGCATCTCAGCGTCCTGTGGCTACAGAGTCTACTGCCAAGGCAGCTTGTTTACTAGGGCAAGTCAATGCCTGCTGATGCTCCCTCTACGCAGACAGGTTCGGCTTCTGTATAGCACGTGGCTGAGAGCCAAGGACAAATGCCTAAAGATATAGGAAGCAGGATGTCAGTTCTTTAAGGGTTGGGGTCTAGACACCCCCAACTCACAATAAATTCAGCATCAGAGGTAAGAATTTTAAGGAGAGGAGTTTGTGGCTGCACATGCCAGTGAGGGTGGCATCCTAAAAATGGGGCTGTGTTTTAAAATCGGGGGTGCAATCAATACTTCCGCTTGTTTTGAGACAGGGTCTCTTTGGCCTTAGCCTTAAACCCTTCTGTGTCAGTCTAGGATAACAGGTGTGTGCCACCATGCCCCAGATCAGCTACAGTCGCTCTGACTGCATTATGGGTGAGGAAACCAAGCATTGAACATTTACATTTTGCTCACTGAAGATGAGGAGATTTCTCCTCCTATGTGGTGGCTGAGCCGTTGCATCTTCCAGACAGCCTGGGCTTTTAACTTCAGTTCCATATCTCTAGAATTGCGTGGCTCGCAAATTTAGATTCATGTCATCTGCAGATTTTTCCATTGTACAGTCATTGCGATTGAGTGAGTGATTCTTGTTTGCAAATCACAAGTCTCTGTACATACAGCGAGGGTTTACCAGAAGTCAAGTGGGCACTGAAGACACGTTCTCAGCCACCTGATTCAGCATTCGGAGATGCCGTGTGACACCGGTTCTGATTCCCACTGCTCTCTTCCCTGCTTCCCAACTGCTAGTGGATCTTCCCCTTCTGAGTGAAACTGGCAGTGGCTCTGAGGAGTGCTCTTCTGTTTTCAGATGTTAGTGTGACATGAAATGGGAGGGGGTAGAGAGGGAGGGAGGGAGGGACAGGAGGTGGGAGGACACAAACAAACAGGCAGCCAACTAACCAGGCTTACTCAGAACTTGAAGAAGTTAAATAAATGTTTTTGGCCTTGAACATAACTATGCACATATAGGTACACGTGTACATTTTGTACAGAGAGCCGCATTGCTTAGTGATGGGAATACATTGTAAATATACTTCATCAGACAACAGGGCACTTACATACATTGAGATGGTGTAGTCTATTGTCGTGTACATGATATAATCTATTGACCCCCCCCCCCGGCTGTAAACCTATGCAACATATTATCCTACTGAATCCTTTAGACAGTGTTATTTGTGTGTCTAACTATAAGACGAACAGTTAAGAAGGAAGGGAATTTAAAAATTTTATTATCATCTGTGAGGTCTCTACTATATGTGCAATGCATTGTTATGAGAAGTCAGGTGCAGTGTGTGTGTGTGTGTGTGTGTGAGAGTGAGTGTGTGTGAGTATGTGTGAATGTGAGTGTGTGTGAGAGAGTGTGTGTGAGTGTGAGTGTGTGTGAATGTGAGTGTGTGTGAATGTGTGTGAGTGTGTGTGTGAGTATGTGAATGTGTGTGTGTGTGTGAGTATGTGAATGTGTGTGTGAGTGTGTGTGTGAGTATGTGAATGTGTGTGTGAGTGTGTGTGAGTGTGTGTGTGTGTGTGTGTGAGAGAGAGAGAGGATGTATGTGTGAATGAGAAATAAGAAAAAGTATGCTATCTCAGATTCTAGACATGGCCTGATAAAGTAATGAATGTAACCATTTATTTACAAACTGAAGAAACCACCAATTTCCTTTACTGCTCATAGATAGTGGCTATTTCCATGTGAGAAAGAAGCAGCCCTTTGTTTCATGGGCTCCGGTTTGCAAAATTATGCTTTATTTTGGTACTGTTGCCTGCAGCTATGGCCTGTGCCCACTTCATATCAGCAGTGAATACAGCCACACGACACTCGTCCTTTCTTGCCATTCTTGAGAATGCTATCCTTCTGATTTGGGTTTCCTTCGCAGGGCAGGTGGCACTTGTGTAGGAAGTTTCATTTTAATCACATTAGAATCCGAGCTGAGACCTTGTCTGAGACAAAGGCTTAGTTTTCATCTACTTTGTGAACACCTGACCTCCTCCTTTCATTTGCTACTTATTTTTCTGTGGCATTATTCAGCCAGAGTATCACGGACAGAGGCAAAGCTCCACTCTGCTACTGGTGGCATCCTGAATTCCCTTAATCGTTTAGGCATCTCAACTCAGGTAAAATTATCTTGGCTTTAACACAGAAAAGAATTTCTGGACCAGCCAGAAGACCTTTTAAACAGACTTTAAAACAGGAGAGGTGCTCAGAGGAAAATAACACAGGGGAGTACGGGTGTGGGCTTCTAATGGTCTCATTTTGTCTTTACAAGAGACACAGACTGTCTGGGTGGGTTTTGAAACTATTATCTTCAGAGGGTTGCACGGTTGCACAGGAGGTTCCTTGGGGAGGAGTGGTATGAACAGGCTTACAGTTACTAAGGTAAAACTAGATCATTGGGTACTGGAAGGTAAGAGGGCTCACATTGTAGAGTTCACAGCCTTGTTTGAGAACCCCAGAAAATAGGGGAATGAGGAGTAGGGTCATATCCCCCAGGCCCCTAAGTCTGGTTATTTCAAAATTCTTTGTTATTTCAAAATAAAATTAGTCATCTGTCTATCCATCCATCCACCTATCCATCTATCCACCTCCTACCCCCATCCATCCACCCACCCACTCACCCATCATCCATCTACCACCACCACCCACCCACCCATCCATCCTTCCATCCATCCATTCATCCATCCATCCTCCCACCCACCCATCCACTTATCATCCATCTATTTATCCTTCTTACCACCTGCTCATCCATCCACCCATCCATCCATTGTTCATCTGTCCATCTATCCATCATCCATCCGTCCATCTATCCATCCATACACCCAACCATCCATCCATCTATCCATCCATTGTCCATCTATATGTCATTCCGTCCGTCTATCCATCCATTCATCCATCCATCGTCCATCTGTCCATCCGTCCATCTGTCCATCCATCCATCTATCCATCCATGCACCCAACCATTCATCCATCCATTCATCCATTGTCTATCCATCTGTCATTCATTCCATCCGTCCGTCCGTCTGTCCATCCATCCATCCATCCATCCATCCATCCATCCATCCGTATGTCGGCAGCCTACCTAGCGATGGTTAGTTGTGCTGTAGTTCTTGCGTCTCCTCTGGGGAGAGGCTTCAGTCAGCCTCTGGAGTGAAGGGGCTCCTCTCCTCTCTATGAGTTTCACCTGTCTATCCCACAGGTTTTCTCTGCAGTCTGTTTCTTCTTTCCTAGCTACTTGTCATGATGGTGTGCCCAGGCTTTCTCTGTCTATCTTTCTAGAGGCCACATCATGGCTCTTAAACCGTCTTCGTTTTCAGGCTGCCTCTGGGATAAGTCCATGGGAGAGATCTAAAAGCAATCATCTCTTTTCCAAACCGTACCTTCGCCCCAGCTGTCTTTTTCTGTGGACAGGTCACTTTAGTGCTGTTGTGTCTTCAGTGAACATGAATTCCTTCCACGTGACCTCATCTGGATGCTTGCCCTGATGCTACCTTACCAGCTCCCAGATGGGAACGGGCTGGCGTCCTCACCCCTCTTCCTCATCCCCCCCTGCTCTCCACACGGCGGGCACACAGCACGTGTTATTTAGATCAATGAACCAACAAATGCACAGGCTTCCATTTTTACGTTTGCCAGAAATCTGAGGCCATCCCTGGTTTACCCCCCTCTTCTTTATGCTCTGACCAGCTCAGTTCACTAAATCTTTCTAGAACATAAGCCACACGAGCTCAAGATGGTTGTCTGCCTTGGTGTGTGATGCGCTTGCATCCCTGGAAGTGCTTGGCAGGAGGGTAAGCACTTGCTACTCTCATAGCTGCAGAAATCCTCGTGTGTGTTTGACCCGCAGTGATTGGTTTCATCTTTGTTGCAAGGTATCGTTGGGATCTCCTTTCACAAGAAGCAGAGACATTTGATTGTTAGATCTTTGCTCCTTGTCAGAGTGCTGCTAAAAGGTGGTGTGGGCATTCACCTCTTGTCTCTGAGTCCTCAAATACAACTGCTAAGTACTATGCTGTAATACCCCCTTAACACTTGCATGCGTATTCTGTGTGGGGCGCTCTACTAAAATCCTGTGCCTTCGACCTCCTCTGTTACAGAGATCTCATAGTCAAGGAGCTGGTTTTGGACTGTTTCAGCTCTAGCCTGGGGACTTACCCCGTGTCATGTGCATCAGGACCCCCAGACCTGTGTGTATAGCTTACAGCTAAAGCACACACCATTTAATGGAAATGTTTCCTGGGGGGGGGTCATCACAAGCATCTAACATTGCTGTGTATATCCCTCTCTGTAGACAACACTGGCAGCCGCACATTGCACTCCCGAGCAGAGACGACTCCATCGTCACCCACCAACAGCGCTGGGAATGGACACCCGGAATATATCGCCTATGTGCTTGTCCCTGTGTTCTTCATCATGGGTCTCCTTGGTGTCCTCATCTGCCACTTGCTTAAGAAGAAAGGCTATCGGTGTACGACAGAGGCCGAACAGGAGGTTGAAGAGGAAAAGGTGGAAAAGATAGGTAAATAACCTTCGCTATTTTTATTTTTAAATGGGTTGAGGAGCAGGTACTGAGCAAAAAAAAAAAAAAAAAAAAAAAAAAAAAAAATCACCAAAACAAATAAATAAAATCTTGATATAAACTCACATTTTAAAATGAGGAAACTGCGTGTTTCCCACAGCAATCAGAGTTTGAACGCTTGCCTGCATTTACTGAATACTTGCTGAGTATTTCCTTCAGAGCCTGGTAGCCCTGGGCTTGTTATTCTTGCTGTGGATATTTATTTCTAATTTTATTGACATTTACTTTAATGAGGCTAATCTCCACCTTGAAGGGTTATTGTGAAATTTCGAGACAGGGTGTTTTGGTGATTGGTGCTTACAGCCACTCATAAACCTTAATCCTTGCTGCTGCCTATTGAGTAAGATCCTAATGGGAGTGGTAGGAATGTGAAATCAGTCTTATCAGGTTTGCAGCGCTGGTGTGAAGGGGGGGGGGGGGTCCTAGCTAAACTTCTGCGGCCGGACTTAATCTTATGAAGTGAATGGATGTAGTTGTAGCACAGTAGAGGTCCGGCAAGAACAGGTGTTTCCGTGTGAACGTCAGGGTGGCTCACCTTTTCCTCCGTGCATGCCTTGATAAGTTGTGTTGGGATAAACCCCACAAATCCCTCCTCTCTGATACTCCTTTCCAGTCATGGCTTCGGGAGGTTTCTGTTGGGTTTGGGTTGGAGGGTGTGCAAATAATGGGGGACAGACCACCAAAGTCTATGAAACCAGAAGCAAATTTTATTCCCCCCCCCCCCCCCCAAAAAAAAAAAAAAAAAAAAAAAAGAAATCACAGGGCACAAAAAGCTTATCAGTTAACTGGGACCACAGCCGGAAGTTTGGGCTTCTAAAACTGTGGCAATGTGGGGCAGGTTAGGGCCCTCTTTTTGTAGTAAGCATTAGGGTGGACAAAGGAATTTTTATAATTTTGAGGTTAAGCTTGGAAACATTTGTATTCTATAATTCCCACTAACAAGGTTTCAGTTGAGTGTTTGTGTTAGCCTGCTGCTGGTCTTTGCATCTCTGTATTTTCCTGACATTGATGGTTTTCTATAGCAAGGAAGGATACTGAACAACGCAAAGCCAAAAGTCACGTAGGGGCATTTGGTTGAAGGTTTATGGGATGGGGGTCTCACACAAACTTTTATTAAAAGTTAACTCTGGTCCATGGTGGTTGTTAAGTGGCAGGCAATGGGTGGGTGGGTGGGTGGTGCTGGTTATTGTGAAAAATCTACCCTCCAGCTGCAGAGAGCCATTGTAAAAAGCTAGCCTTTAGTGCCAGCCATCAAGCAAGGAAAACCATTGTTGAAAAGCTAATCCCTAGTTACTGACAGGGCTGGTGACTGTCAGCTCCCATTTCTTTTAGGCTACAAATTCACATTTCAATATTTCTGTATTCCTATTTCTGGATCCTCCATGTCTATATCCCTGCTCCCAGACCCTTCAGTTTCCCGATGGCCCAAGGACTAGCAGATCGCCATCTCCCATCCAATTCAGCCCCTCTATGGAGTCTTCACAGAGAGGTCACCAGTGGAGCATTCCGCAGGGCCTCCTGGGGGAAGATTTCTCAGTCCTTGCCATCCTGCTGGACTGTTGATTTTTCCACCCCCACTGACCTTTGAGGCTGAGGAACACACACGGGTGAGCATGATGAGTCACAGGCAGCAAATGCTAGACCCAGCCCAGAGTGTTTGTCAACAGAGCAGAACTGACGGAGGTTGGCTCAGTCATGGTCTCCAGTTTGGTTGCCCACACATCCCTGGGCCGTGGGAGAGAAGCTTCTCTTGGGGTTCAGGGAACATTCATGCAGGTACATGGATGTGTCATCGCCCTACTCGGTGCATCTTCCCCAGTAGGATGCTGTATCTCAGTCCTGTCTCTTTACTTCTTGCCCTGCTAAATAAATTATACAGATCAGTTAGTTTCCAAGTGGAGGTTTGTTCTCCTCCTGCCCACTGTCACATGTTCTACTGACTGGTACTGCGTTCTCAAAGTAAACTGAATTTGTAAACAAGTAACTAGCGCCCAGATTTAGATACCTTGTTTAAAAGGAAATGAGCCTCTTTGTAAACATGGATGAGTGAGCACTTACTAATTCAGCTGGAAGCATAAGTCGGTAGACCAGCTTTAGATAGCAAGTCTGCAATTAGGTGAAACCCAAGGAAAATGGCATTTCTTTTAACTAGCCTTCTTCTTGTTTCCCCTGAGGGTTTAAGGTAATAAGGAGAGATGGGAGGAATGGGGACAGATACAAATGCGTTACTCTGTTGCCAGACAAAGCCGGTGGATATTTGATCTTGGGAGATTGATGGACAGCCCTGAGCCTTTTTTTTTTTTCAATTTTTAAATGTGTGTTCTCCCAAGGAACTCAACACTGTGACAATGGGAAGGTGGGGACTGAAGACCCAAAGCCAGGATCTTAGCACTGCGTGAGGGCACTTGAACTTTCTGGACGCTGTTCCGTGAGGCCTTGGGCTCTAAGATGAATGTGTACTTGACTTGTTGCTGGTGACATTTATGACACTGCCCTGTTGTCCCTTTCCACTTTTAGAGCTGAACGACAGTATAAATGAGAACAGTGACACCGTCGGGCAGATTGTACACTACATCATGAAGAATGAAGGTAGGAGTATTGTGCATGCTTCGGGGCCTTTCAGCCTCATGGAAAATCTAGAGCTCTGTAATACCCCAGCTTTTAGCATTGTCCCTCTGCCAGGGCTTGGTGACTTCAGCGTTGCAGAGGGCCGGCTGGTCAAACCCCGCCTCACCACACCGGCTAGGCCGTGTGTCACAAGACTTTAATGACTTTATAGAGTCTCCGTGTCCTCCTGGAGTGAGAGTCATACGTGCTCATACAAGTTCCACAGCACTGTGTGGAATAGCGCAGGACGTCATATGTATTCACATCTTTCCTATTGCTCGTTTTTCACACTCTATAAAACATAAGGCTTACTGTTTTAGGGCTCAGTGGGTAAATGATTATTTCACATGAGATGTGAATTTGATTCCCCAGCCCCCAGGTAAGAACTGGGGAGCGGCAGTGAGTTCCTGTAGCACCAGTGCTGGCCAGATGGATACAGCAGGGTTCTGGAGTGCCCTGACCGGCTGGGTTAGCCACTTGGTGAGCTCCAGGTTCCGTGAGAGACCCTGTCTCCAAGTAAGAGGACAGTGACTGGGGAAGACCCATATTGACTTCTGGCCTCAATGTGTGCATACACTCTCCCACATACCACACACTTGTGCACATACATACACACGCTCATGCATGTGAGCATGCACATACATGCACGCACACACACATGCGCACACATGCACACATGTACTCAAACATGCATACACATGCACACACACCCATACACATGCACACACATACACACGCATACACACACATATGCACGTGCACACAAGCATGCATACATACACACATGCACACACATACACATATGCACACATGCACACATGCATGCATACACATGCATACACATGCACACACATGCACACACACATACAGACACGCACACACACATAACACGCATGCATGCACACACACAAACACACACACATGCATGCACACACACACACACACACACACACACACACACACACACACACACTTTTACTAGTTTAACCATTTGGAAATGGAGAACTCAGGAGCATCCGTGTCCATTTGGATTGCTACACAGTCGTCAGCACTATTTCAGACCTTCCTAATTATCCCACAATGAAACATGTATGTTTCTCTCCCTGTTCCTTCCTCCCCAAACTGCTTGCAAACGCTGCTTTGTTTTCTGCCTCTATCGCTTGTGTCTTCTAGGAAGAGCTTAAGCATTAGGACTTAAGTTTTCTTATTCCCCCCATTGTTTTTTTAAGATAAGGTCTCATATAGTTCAGGATGGCTTTGAACTTAGTATATAGCTATAGGATGGTCTTGAACCCATGGCCATCCCTCCCCTACCCCCTAAATCCTGGGGTTATAGACATAATGCCAGTATGCTCAGATTTATGAAATGTATTTTAAGTCAACTTTTAAAGCGAAGAGTTCAGTTGTTATTAAACAAGTTAGGGTCACTGTTCTGAATGCTGGGGTTTATCTTGGTACATTAATGTTTTCTGTTGCTATAACTGAGTACCACAGCTTGATATTTTATAAAGAACAGAAGTTAATTAGCTCACTGTTCTAGAGACTAGCAAATCTAAGCATGAGGCCAGCGTCACTGCCTTCTGACCTGGGGACAGGATGAGCGCAGAGCAATCACGCCAAAAAAGAGCTTATGACAAAGCCACTCCCTCAGTGATCCATGAATCCAAGAACTCTTGAGTAGATAGTTTATTCATTAGGGCAGAGCCGTCCTGATCCTGTTACCCTGAGGCTCCACCTCCAAATGCCATCATTATGATTTTGGGGCTAATATTCCCAGCACATGAATGAATTTTAGGCCACACCCCAACCAGAGCAGATTCTTTGCTCTTAGTGATTTTTAAGGCATGTGACATTCCTTGCTCCCTTGCTGACAGCTACGGTGTGTCCTTCCATCAGGGAGTACCACCTTTCTGCAGTCAGTCCTTCCCTCCCGACTACTCATTCCGTAAGAGCGCCCACCTGGTCCAGCCTAGTTTTCACCGGTTTTCCAGCTGTGCTTTATGTCTTTGGCTTAGTACTTTCTGTGGCTTCTCACCTGTTTCTCAACACACCCATGTGAAGTTAGGATACTCGGTTTATGGGTGAAGAAAAGAGGGTTCCCAGGATTTAGGTTTGAGTGGTTAGTGCCTTCTGCCTAGTCCCAACTATAGTGTCTCTTCCAGCCGTGCAATGCTGTTTCTCTTTTTCAGTCTTGATCGTGTACAAAAAAATCAACAAGTTCATAGAATGTTTTTAAAGTTTTTATCAGAGTAAGAACAAAAAGACAAGAATATTTGGATTTGGGTCTGTCTCCCGGGGCTTCCCATCAGGGCATAGGATTTGGCAATACTTAATTTGAGCACATGAGTTTATTATGATTTAGTAGTTTTTTTCATGTTGACTTTGAGGCTAAAATTCTCAGCTGTATGAAACAAGCTTGTCTTCTATTGTTAGCCCGACTTCAAACTTTATTTCAATTTAGACTTCATTGTTATTTTCCAAAACTGACACTCTTTTTTAATAAATTATAACCATACTCTAAACCTTTCTTAAGAAATTAAAAAGGAATAAAATGAAGCTCACTCATTCCATTAATTTTTTTTTCATGATTATTTGCCTCTATAGCACATAGTTTTAAGTGAAGCAAAGCTGGGATTTATTAAGATTTCAATATAGATAGAAGCCAGAGAAGGGGATGAAAATGAGGCTGAAGGTGGACACGCTTAGAAGCCAGAGTCCCAAGGTAGCAGTCTTGCTTACGGTTTAGGCGTGAGCCTTTAGTTAGAATTCTCCCAGGATTTGGAGTCATAGGTGGTTGTGAGCCAATCACCATGGGTATTGGGATTCAAGCTTGAGTTCTCTGCAAGAATATTGTGTTTGCACTTAACCACTGAGTCATATCTCCAAACTGTACTGTGCTTCCAATATAGGGTGTGCAGAGTTTCCCACAAAGATGTCCTACTTTACATGCCAATTCTGTTCCTCTAACTTACATGCTAAGAATCTAAGAATCTCCACAGTCCCCTCCTCAGGTTTGTCAGCTTGTTAGGATGGCTCACAGAACTTGGGAAAATGCTGTTAATTTTAGCTATTTGTTAAAAGTATGTTAACACAGGAACAATGGGAAGGAAGAGAGACATGGGGCCAGGTATTGGGGTTGCAAGGTGCAGTCCTCTAATCACAGCCTTTCTGACTACCAGCCCCACAATGACTTACCACATTACTGTAGACTCAGGTATGATCGAGTATCTCATTATGAATAACAAAAGACACTCCTATTTGACTCATGAAATTTCACTCAGGAAATTCTCAGGGTTTTAAGAACTCTTCGACACACCCACACACTGGAATAACCCTAGAGCTATCTCTTAACTTATTCCCTACAGAGCCAAGCTGAGCAGTGTGGATAGTGTTTTGTGTGTTTTATAGAAGTTTGGAGAGCATTAAGGACTTAAAAAATAATCTGACATTTTACTCAAAATGCACCCATCATTTGTAGGGAACTGTTTTCTCAGGTAGCTTTAAACAACTCTCTTTTGAACGCTTGTCATTGTAAATTCTATTACAGCAGCATCGGCATCATTCCTTTTGTTGTTATTTTTTCCCTCTCATGTCGAGTTTGGTTAAGTGATGGCAAAGTACAAACTGGCCATTTACCGTGTATTTTGTATAAGCCATGTATGAGACTATGTACCTTTATTAGATCAGCTTGTTATTTATAAGGAAACTTACAAGGCCAGCTCTTTTCAAGGGGAAAGTGATTGCTGTAGCTCTCACCACTGGAGGATGGAAGTCCAAGATCAGGCAGCCTCATTGATTTGACGACTCTGTGAGGGGCTACCTGGCTGGCTCACATCCTAGTGGGTTGGCATCTTGTTGGAAGTATGGAGTAAAGGAAGAGAATGCACAGAAACCAGGAAGCCAGAGAGAGAGAGAGAGAGAGAGAGAGAGAGAGAGAGAGAGAGAGAGAGAGAGCGCCTTCCTCCTTGTGCAGGGAGACTGGGACTCAAGTGCAGGGACTTGTCCATGCTAAGCACACACTCTGCCACTAAGTTATGCCCCCATTTTTATACCAACCCCTTCTTGGAAACTGAGGGAGAGAGGATGCTTCAAGAGCTTCTGAGGGCAGTGCCCCTGTAACCTGATTTTGCCTTCCCTGGAAGCACCACCTCCCACGTGGCCAGTTTGCTGCCATCAGGTGGTGAACTTGAGAGAGAATAGCATCAAAGGGTTCGTTGCCAAGGGCAGCAATGATAGCAGGTATAGAAGCTGTTCCCGGGACCAAGCTCTCAACACAGGAGTCTTTGGGGGATGAACCACATCCAAACCAAAGGAACATTATTTTCCTGAATCCTCGTTAGCCGACAAAAGGGAGGACGACAGGTGTCACAGGACTATCAAGTGTGCTTTGCAGATTCAGTGTGTCTTTTTGTTGTATGGGTGGAGATAGTATGGCTCTAATTAATTTTAGCGCCTTTTTTTTTCTTTTTCCTTTTTCTTTTTTTAATAACAGAGCTTTTGGTTTCACACCAAAACTTGTATTTGGCAGTGCTTTTAGACACCCTCGCAGTTGTGAAGGGCGAAAAATGTAATTTTTTAAGGAAAGGGGTGACGCGTGTAAGAATTTCTTCAAAACACCCCCATCTCCATGGATTCCTAAAAGTTTCAGTGAGGTGATGTGCTTCCCAAGGTAGTGAGAACTGGAGACCAGCGCATATAGAGAAATAGAACAAACCAAAATGAGAGGTTTACTCTCTTATATATAAGGCATCAGATAACGCCATAGGTCACAAGCGGATATAAATCTTTAGTGTTGTATTTTCATGAGAGGATTGGTAGGGGGGGAAATAACCTGGGTTCAGCAGAAAGGAAGTCATTTGAATCTTTGCCTCTCAACACTTCCCAGCCTCAGAGCTTGAATTAGAGTTAATTGTACTCTTCGGGGGATGCCATTTGAGTGTGACATGCTACATGGTACCATTGGCTCTGTGTGGTAAATAGTAATTTTCTTTTTATTCTCTCTTCTCTGGAGAATTTATTGTGGTAAGTCATGAGAACTGTGCTTTAAAATGCAAATGGAAAAGGTTAGGAGCTGGTAATAGCTTTTGTCCCTGGCAATTAAATAGCTAAAGACACTTGGCATTCATAGCAGCTTTGGCTGAGCGTTCTGTAAGGAGTAGGGCGTGGGCGTGGGTCAAGTCTAAAAGCTTAGGTTCCGTTTGCGTTTGTTGACAACACACACACTTGGGATTTTAAAGGATGAACAATGTAAGTCTAAATCAAGTCCTCCTGTGTCACATAAGTTTGAATGATTTGACCTGAATTAGAGCCTTTTGTAGTCCATGGGGAGAGCAAAGTCAGATGACCTCCTCAACCTTCAAACATCTTCACCAGGGCACTGGGATTGCCTGTGAAGTGAAGGAAGGCCTCAGGTGTTTCATTGACAGCTTTTCTAGCATGCTGACTATGATTACTCGCTTACCTCATTTAATTCTTTTTCTCTTCAGCGAATGCAGATATTTTGAAGGCCATGGTAGCGGACAACAGCATTGGTGATGTTGAAAGGTGAGCGTCTCTCTTACTACAGATGGAGACAGTTTTCATTTATTCAGATCAATGCCGCTGGTATTCTGCTCAGCTCGGGCTGGCCTCTAGCCTTGGGTGCTATTGACATTTGAGGTCAGACAAGTCTTTGCTGAGAGTAATAGCTAGATTGTTGAACAGATTCCTTCATCTGTTCCCTGGGTGACAGAGCACTCTCCTTCAAAGGGTGACAACTTAAATGTTTCCACACACTGTCAGTATTCCTTGGGGGACCATCGCCCTGTGACTGGAGCTCACAGGAATGGCGCCCGGAACCACTTAGGTGTGGAGGGAGAGAGCCAGGGATTGGAAAATAAAGAAGACAGAAAGCTGGGACCAGGAGCTCTAGTGCGAGCTGATGGCTGATGCCAAGCAAGTTTATTAAGAAGTATGACATCTTACATGCAGTTTTCATGGGGAAAATGGGGATATAGTCAGTGGAAAGCTGTCATACAGTGGGGTGACGTCAGCAGGAAGCAACCCAAGGGGGACACAGGACGTCTCCAGTGCTCTGCAGATTGAGCATACAGCGGCCATGGACTGATATCTACAGCCCCACAAGGAGCCATACTCCTTCTCCATACACCGGGGTCTCAGAGAGAGAGAGAGAGAGAGAGAGAGAGAGAGAGAGCCTTGATCAGCCTGGCTCCCAACCACCCTGGTTAAGAACTCTGTGTTCAACAGTCGTACTGGAGAGAGTGAGGTGAGTGGCTGTGAGGTCCAGAGCTGTAGAGCGGTTGTGTCCTCTAGTGTGTAAACTGAGCCTGCTGAGCTGAGCTCCAGATCCGTTGTCTACAAACCACTGTGCCAATTCCACTGGATTATTCCTGGGAATATAGAGCACTTCAGGCCCTGAAAGGCCTTTATGAACAACAATAGCTAAAAGATGATGTGGTCTGTTTAGGGTACCTGCTTTTGAATTACTGACTATAGATTATGGTTGTTGACTACCAGATTCCGTTGTAATTAGCCATACATCGCATACATCTAGACAGTTCTCCGTTTTGCTAATCATGGGGCGTTGACTGGGTACAGGGTACAGTGTGGTATAGAGCAGGGCAGTGACAGATCTTCGCTCTAAAGGGATTCAGCCGGAGGGGCAGGGAGATGGGTGTGTGAGGCCTTATGCAGAGGTACAGGCTGGAGTTTGGGGGAGGTTCTGGGGGCCAGAAGAAAGAAGTGCCACCTGTGCCTGGTGTTGCAAGCAGGTGCTGGTGTAGACAGGTCTTGTAGATAGTCCACCGTGGATGTGCACATGCTTGGGAAATTCTGGAGATGCATCTGGAGATGCTGTGGTGTAGGACATAGAGACCCATATTTCCTGCCTCTGACAGTTGGTGTTTGGTACATATTAATTAGCTCCGAGGAGCCTGGACTCAGTTGACTTGGGGCCTGCTATTGGACTGGTATTTGTTGGGTGAACTCAGTTAAATGAGCTCAGTTTTCAAATACATGTTGTTATGCTAACATTGTCCTTCCAGGGAGGTCCTACCCTGTGTTTGCATTTGGACATCCGCAAGGGCATTGCTAAAGAGTACTTGGGGACTTGTAGTTGTCTAGACTGCTTTGGCTGCCCTCAGTTGGAATTGTGGTGGCCTGGATGGCATTTGAAGTGGGTTAGTCTACTGGCTTGTGTGTGGCTTTGGAGCTGTTGCTGTACATTGCAGGCATTAGGTACTGGTCTTAGGTGTGGCACAAGGTAATTCCTGGTCAGTCTGGCCCTATCCTGTTTGGATCCCTCCTTTTCTAGCATAGGGTTAGTTCCTTCTGAAAGTAACTGATGTCCTACATCTGTAGTTCTCCTTTGCCTGTCTTAGCTAGCCTGGCCAAGGTTACCCAGGTGGTCACCTTTGTCCTTGTAGCAGTGTCTGTAGCTGAATGTGAGGACCCGGCAGGTTGACTTTGTAGGATGTCAAAACCACTTAGGTGCTGTTTATTGTACTAGCAAGATACACTACAGACATTTGGCTTCTTTGAGCCCCATTGTCCTCGTTTCTATGAGGAGGAAATTAATGCATACTCCATAAAGGTCTACGAGGATTTATTAAATTAACACGTAAGACATTCTTAGGGGACAATTGGCTACTCTTCTTGTTGTCAACTACATCAGCATCTATTTTGAGCACCACTTTCTATATCTTGACCTAAAAGCTTTCCCTTTGATGTGATAGACAGCTTAGATGTTGTTATGTTTTGCCGATCTCAAATCTTCTGATAATTGTGAGTTCTTTTCCCCCAATGGCACGTTCGGGGCATCTTGCTTTGGTGTTCCAGGCTGTGGGTGAGAAGTCTGTGATTGCATGGGAAGGAGGATGGGAGTTTTTGGAAAAGAATGTCATGTTGTGAAGTGAAATTGTGTATCACCCTTGGAAGCAGTGGCTTGCTGCCCCCCCCCCCCCAATTGTTCATTGTTCGGAATGAACGGTTGTTGCTGCCTGAGAGCTGAGTGCTGTTGCCCAAGGCCAGTTCAAAAAATTCATCAGTGCAATTGAAAGGTTTGTTTGCTTAAACCTTCCTGCATCTTAGGGTGCAGCTGCCTTCACTGGGATTTCTTCTGAGTAGCCGTTTTTACCTTTTTTCTTTCTCTCTTTTTCTAACCCTCCTTCAGCCCTGTGACCCCTAGCACCCCAGGGAGCCCACCTGTGAGTCCTGGACCCTTGTCACCGGGGGGCACCCCGGGGAAGCATGTCTGCGGCCACCACCTGCACACAGTGGGAGGTGTTGTTGAACAGGATGTGTGCCAACGCTGTAGGCACAAGCGATGGCACTTCATAAGACCCACCAACAAGTCCAAAGAGAGCCGGCCACGGCGTCAGGGGGAGGTCACCGTCCTCTCTGTCGGCAGGTAAGGTGTCCTGATGCTGCTTGTGTGGTTTATGCTTAGCTTTTCGTTTGAGCGTAAGTTCTCATGAACCTGGCTTCTTAGATGTGCCCTGGTCTGACCAGACAGCTATTGAGAGCTCCTATAGAACATGTATTAATTGAGGTTAGGTAATTAATTACTCTTTGTAATAGCTGGAGCCTCAACTCTGAACTGTGCCCAGAACCTGTGTTTCTGTGTCTCTTGTGAGACTCTAAAATAGGTGGTCAGGGCAGTGTGTGCCTTTTCACACAGCTGTCCAGAGCCCCAGGCTCCTTCGTCTCCAGACTCTGCAGGTTCGTAAACAGAGAGAGTTAAGGAAGGCACTGTGAAGGGGCTCTTAGTGAAACCAGCCTGAGGGTAATCTGTATCACATGACTCACATGCCACTGGCTCCAGATGATCGCTTGTCTTCACCAGAGTGCCAGGCAACCAGGAAATGTCATGCTGCCGTGTATCAAGAATAGAGAAAGACAGATTTGGACCAGAACTTTCCAGTCTCTGCCACCTAAGATCCACGCCCGGGACTGCTTTCTCGGAGGGTCACCTCTGCTACGTCAGTTCCAAAGCATCATTTCCTTGTGGCCCATGTGTGATGTCAAGATCCTACTGTTTGATTGTCGTCTTAGTGAGACTTGACCTGACTGCGCTTGCACGGGACACTTGTGTAGTTTGACAGCTTATACAGGAAGTGCATTGCCTAGGAATGTGTCACACTGGAAAAGGTCACCCATGCAGGAGTCAGGCAAGGTCAGTGCTGAGTTTAAATTAAGGACAGATCTCTAGGGAAGCGTTGCCTGGACACGTGGCATCTACCCTGATCAGGACCCGGCATCACTACTTACAGGCTATTATGTCACCGTGCCTCAGTTTCCCCTGCACGAAGTGAGAAGGCACACCCACCTCTCAGGGCTTCTGTCAGAAGTAAAAATGACGACTCAGGTCAAGGTTTTAGACAGGGACACTGGCAGTTTTTGGAATTATTTTTGTAATTTTAATTTGGTTGAGTCTTAGTCCTCTGTTACAGTAACCACAGGACTGAGGGCTGTTTGCCACTCACAGGAGAGCTGTGCAGCTCATGACCAGACTTAGTAACAGTCCACATCAGGAGTAGGAGTCATGGGCATTGATGAATGCAGGATAGGAAAGCCTGAGGCAGTTTGAACAAAACATATTCTGTTTTCTCTTTGAAAACGTGCTGAAAATTCTCAGCTCAGGTCCACTCTGCATTTTCCAGGGCTCAGAATCCACCCCTCTCTTAGCGGTTGGATGTGATGAAGGGTGTTTAATCATTACAGGCTGGTTTTCAGAGTGTTTGCTTAAGACTCTTGCAGTTTGACAGGACGGAGTCTCTACTTCCCAGACGCCTTTGGACAAAGGAGGAAATTTATATTTTAGATCATTTAAAGGAGATTAGGACCGTAACTATATAAATGTTGTTACTGAAGATGGATTTGATGATGCTGTTCCAGAAGAGCAGACAGTAGACTGCCTTAATGTTTCTCCATGACATTCTCTTCTGTAGCTTGAGTGAAAATTAACATAAATTTAGCTTTGAAAAGCAGAAACAGAGTAGCCAGGCCACCACTGGGCTCCTCTGACTGGCAGGTGTGTATTTGCTCGCTGTGGTTATGCCGTGACCGACCACCTTGGTTATGTCTGTCTGCGTTGCAAGCCGCTTTTCCTGTCCGCCAGAGTTCTATGGTTAATGCCCATGCCACCGTTGGAAACCACAGCTCTCGGACTTGCGTGTTTTCTAATGTGCTTTCCATGCTCTGTGAGTGAACTGTCAGATGGTTGCGCAGGGGTCCGCGGGGGCATGCAGCCCTCTTGTCCCGCAGCTGCTCCTGTTGCTCTTCCTCCTCCAGGAAGTCCCTGCTGACAGGAAAAGCAAAGCCCGTCACACCTCCACTTTACCTCCTCAGGTTTAGGGTTACCAAAGTGGAGCACAAGTCCAACCAGAAGGAGCGGAGAAGCTTGATGTCTGTTGGCGGGACCGAGAGCATCAACGGGGATGTGCCTGTGACGCCTGTGAAGAGAGACCGGAGTGGCACAGAGTAGCCGGTGAGCTGTGGGTTTGGGGACATTGGAGCTAGAGTGTTGCTGAGTAGGGAGGAGAGGTACAGAGAGCTTTCCTTGGGTCTGTGGTCACATAGGAATGATACTTGGGAGGGGACTAAGAAGGCTTCCCTGAAACCGATAGGACTGAGGGGCGCCGGGCACTCAGCATTGCTTGTCTGGGCGCATTTGAAGAGGCTTGGAGCATTACAGAGTTGTGGAGAGCGACGGGGAGACCTCAGGGCAAGAGGCCCGCAATACCACTCACTGCAGCGCCTTTGCATTGGAAACAGGCTAAACCCCAGACTTTTAGAATGTACAACAAATAAATAAGCTTTTAAAGCTGGTTTAAATGGGAAAACAAAGGAAACAAAAATCAGGTTGGAATGGTACTACAGGACCGTCTCAGCACGTAGGAGGCCGAGGCAGGAGGATTGAGACTGGCCAGTGAGACTCCGTGTCAAAACAAACAAAAGGTGTAGAGCAAAGGGTATGCGATCTTTTGTGTGTGTGTGTGTGTGTGTGTGTGTGTGTGTATGTGTGTGAAAACGACTGGGACAAGTGTTTTGAATTGGTGTACTCCCTCATTGATTGTATCACAGAGAATCCGAGCCATTACAATATTGCTCTCATTACTCAGTGATAACATTACTCTGAGGACCCCCCCCCCACCCTCCCAACTGTTCTTTCCACCAGCTGTTCCGAAGCACTCAGAACTCAAGGTGACTGCTTCTCGCTTTAAAACGAGCCCTTTCCCCTGTAATGACTTCCTTGTTGGCTTAGCTTTCATCTGATTTCCCGCCTCTCTGGCTTGAGCAGCATTTCTTGTCTCTATGCTTGTTATGTTCAAAAAAAAAAGGGGCAAGGCCTGAACTTCAGACTGGAAGGGTTGGTGCATTTAAAGGAAGTAAGGGCGGATGAGGTCAGGCATGAACTCAGCTGGCAGAGCTTAGCCAGAGTCCAGGAACTGGCTGACAGGTTCAAATCTCTGTTTACCACTCTAGCACTGAGGCTTGGCCATGCATGGCAGCCTTCTATGTCTCAATGGCAGCTGCTTTGGGGTGACCCTGAGAATTCTCTGAAGTAGCCGTGAAGCCCGGGGCCTTGGTATTCTGGACATGCTGGACAGAGCTGCTCTCCTGAGGCTGAATGGAGGGCATAAAGGGCATTTTGGTTGAAGCTCCTCTCATATAGTGTGCAGGTTCAAAGGCTGAAGATATTCTGGAAGCCATCTGGAGGAGCTGTGTTCCTTAACTCTCCAAGGAGCAGAGGTACTGGCTCCTATTTAAAACTAGTTCGTGTAGGCTTATGTTGGGAGATATCTGGCCCTAAACAGAGACTTTCTCTGTTGTTTTTTTGTTTTTGTTTTTGTTTTGGTTCTTGTTTCTTTGTTTTGCTGCTGCTGTTCTGGACACAGAGTCTCTTAACTATAATTCTTGCTGGCCTGGAACTTACCATGTAGCCTGGGCTGCACTTGACCTCACAATAGTCCCTTTGCAGCACCCTGCTGGGATTGTTGGTGAGAGGTACCTTACCTGGCAATGGGACTTTATTATTTTTGTTTTTTTTTTTTTTTTTTTTTTTTTTTTTTTTTGAGACAGGGTTTCTCTTTGTATGTTTGTAGAGTAGGCTGGCTTTGAACTCACAAAAATCCACCTGTCTCTGCCTCCTGAGTGCTTGGATCAAAGGCAAAGGCGTGTGCCGCCACCACCTAGCCGGGACTTTCCTTAAAGAGGAGAAGCAAGGAAAAAAAAAATTGGCTTCTCAGCTGAAAGTAAACTAAGTAAAGGGTAATGAATGGCTAGTAACAGGACCTGAAGTTAACTTGGTAGTCTAGATTTCTGGACCATCATCCCACATGAGGAAACTGGTACATGGGTGGATAGGTTATGTATCAATAGTCATGTCACTGGAGGGAAGAGCCAAGGTCTCTTGACTGTAAGATAGAATGATGGGCTAGATCAGTCAGCCTAGGGTGCTCCTGAGGAGGAAGTCTAGACCCTAGGCCCTGGCTGGGGGATGTTACTATAGATCATCCTAGAACTTCATCTGTTAGGATAGCTTCTAGTGAGCTAGGCTACTGTCTTAGTTTGGGTTTTCATTGCTGTGAGGAGACACCATGGCCGTAGCAACTCTATAAAGAAAACATTTAATCACTTAAAGTTTCAGAGATTCAGTCCATAATCATCATCATGGGGAGCATGGCAACACCTGGGCAGATGTGGTGCTGGAGCTGACAGTGCGACATCTTATAGGCAACAGGAAGTCAACTGATAGTCACGTTGAGTGAAGCTTGAGCAAAGAGACTTCAAAAAGCCCTCTGTAGTGATATCTTGTTTATACTCTAACAAATAAAGCTTTCCTCAAGACCAGAGGGCACAGCTAGCCATTAGCTAACCATAGAGGTCTGGAGGTCTATATATACAGACAGACAGGAAGTAACATGGCTAGCTCTAGTGGCTGCTCTGTGTTTTTATTATTAAGACCAATTAGAACTTGTGCTACACCCGCCTTCACAGTGTCACACTTCCTCCAACAAGGCCACACCTCCTAATAGCGCCACTCCCTTTGGGGTCTGTTTTCTTTCATACCACCATAGCTACTTACGTGTACATTAATTCAAAGTAAACATTTAGATTTTTTTGTACTAGTCACATTTCAAACGATCAGTAGCCCACCAAGGTTGGAGTCTGTCTTGTTGGGAATTGCAGCCGTGGGACGTGCCCGTCATCCAGAAAAGCAGTGCTGAACAGAGATGCCCTTGATGTTAGACGTGGATGAATCAGAGAAACTGATTAAAGTTACTGTCTGGGAAAGGACACATCTGGTATTGGACTCTAAGATGATGAAAGCCCAGCGACAAGTATGGGGTCCTGCTCTCTGTGTGTATGTGCTTCCCCGCCCTCTCCACCCTCCAGCGGCAATTGACTGCTTAACAAGAGCCCAGTGGCAGCCAGGAGCGAACTACAAGGCCATCCCGATGCCATATTTCAGCCTAGGTACAGCCACACCAAGGTTTAGAAAGGTTAAAGGAATTAAGATTGCTGAGCTGGCTTTTGTGGCCTGAATTCTATCTGTATCACACTCAGGAAATCGATCTAATTACCTGAAGTCCTGACCACAGGTAACAGGTCTACAATTTGATACTCTCTGACATCGTCTAGGATTACATAATTGGGTCCCACCAGAAGGCTCACGCTCCATCATGAGTCCATTTGGAAACAAATAGTTCTCACTGCCCATGCCTCCTTTTTATATGAAATAGAGATAGTAATGCATTGATTCAAGGCAAGAGCCAAGAGAGTGTCTGGGATGAAGTTGGCTCTCAGTGGAGGGTGGCCATGCTCTCCAGATCGGTGAGATTCACCTGGGCCTTAAGAAGGGAACATATCCTCGGAGACTCCAGTTCACTGTAGCTAATTTTGAAATTAAAGGGAAGTTTTTATTGTGGAAGTTAAAAAGTTCAGAAGCAGAGAGAATAATAATTGAGCATGTATAATCAATCGGGCACCTCACTTTACAGATCAGGTTCTTCAGTACACAGTTTAAAATAACTTGTTTGGGATTGGTGGGGTTTAGGTGGAACCCAAGTAGCCTGACTTCAGTCGTCACAGATGGTCCAAGAAAAACAGGTCTTAGGTGTGTCCAGGCTGAATTATACAGAGTACGGACTAAGGAAAAGAAGGAAGCAATGGTCATTGGTGTTTAAAATGTTAGGTATTTGTTGACATTTTCTTACTAATTTTCCTGTGTTTCTGAGGAAGGTACGCTTGGGACTGTTAATGGGGCTTGAATTTCAACTAAGAAAACCTGGAATTTTTCATCTGGGCTGGAAATCTCTGGGTCTGGAGAGAATGATGTAAAATGTAGCAATAGCTGGGTGTGATGGTACAGGCATGCCTTATTCCCAGGACTCTGAAGGCAGAAGCAGGCAGGTCTCTGTGAGCCGGAGGGCAGCCTGCTCTACGGTGTGTTCTAGGCCTGCCAGGGCTACACAGTGAGACCCTGTCTCAGGGTAGAAGACTTAGCTCGTAAAGTAGTAAAAGATGGACCTGTGTTTGTATAGTTGAATCAAGTCTTTGAAGTTGTATTTTTCGCCCCCTCCAAGGTGTTTTGTTTAAATTGGAGTTTCCAAGTTGTTTTACTAAATTACATTAATTTACCATACATTCACTTAGGGTTTCTTCCTCCCTGTTCACCCCATCCCTACCCCCTTTCTTGTCTTTAACAGAATCTGTGCTTGGTGAGGTCAGTTTCTTATATCCACAGGTTCTGCATTCTTGGATTCATCCAGTATCCCACCGAACATCTTTCTCGGGGTCCTCTGTCTGTACTGCACGTGGACACCTGTCCCCAAACAGTGCAGAACAACAGCTGTTTTCATAGCATTTACTTGCATTTGGTATTTTAAGTAATGCAGAGGCGGTTTAGAATTCACAGGAGGAGATGTGCAGGTGGATACGCAAATGCTGTAACTGCTTATACAGAGGACCGGGCACCCACAGCCCTGGGTGTCCGTGGAGGTCATCGAGCTGACCCTTGTAGCTACTGAGGGACCATCTCGTGTTCTAGACGGAGCAGGATTTCTCTTTCCCTCTCTCCTCCCCTCTTTTAAAAAGCGACGTCTGCTTTTCCTCTCCTTCTGCTTATCCCCTCCCTGCCCCTGTGGCTTGAGCTCCTTTTTGTAGCTCATTCTGACTTACATTCTGCCTGGTTTATTTTGGCAATGCTGTCAAAATGGTTTCTTTCTTTCTTTTTTTTCCTCCCCCTCTCTCAGAAAATGTGTTTTGATTTTTTTTTTTTTAAACCCTTAGAAGAATAAGCTTTTGTTTTTCAAAGTTAAATAGATGGAATTGCTTTCGGTCTCCAGATGCCACAGCCTTGTCTTCTTTGTCACCGGTCTCTGCAGCTTGCATTCTCTGGCGTGTGTCTCCGAGACGTGTTGTCGTCCCTCCCCCCCCCCTCCCCCCCCCCCGCTCTGATTGCACCTTACCGAGGACACTGAC